TGGTATATACACTGGTGGACTTTCTAATGTTAAATGCAGAAACACTTTGTTAAAACAGTCACCTATTGCTGGGTACACTCTTCCCTTTAGGACATAGTCACATTCTCCCTATCCTTTTCCTCTATTTTGTTACTATGACAGTGATGAGATTTTCTTTCTGGCATTTTTCTCATTATCTTGCCCTGAAAGAGACAATCATTTCTCAGAGATTCTCCTTCGCCAAATATGAGTAAGCTCAAATAGACTGCTTCCCAATCAGAAACTTCCCTATGGCCAGAATTTTGCATCTTTGTTTCGACTTTATTGAGGAGTGACCACAGATATTGTGAGTTTATCAAATATAAAATTCTTCCACTTCCACACAAAGCAGACACCAGTAATTGAAGTTCTAATTGAATGCCATTTCCAATTTCTGAACCATCATAAGTACAAGGAAACTTCAGTCTATGACTGAACAAATGTGTGCTATACATCATCTCTGAAAAGTGTTTGTGTGACCCCCTTCTGAAACCATAAGCCCTGGCACTCTCCCCCAAATTGATGGTCCATGCACTTGTGCCTGATAAGCCATGAGTTCTCAAGGACGTGACCCTGTTTACAGAGATTTCTACTTCTCTTAGTGAAAAAGAAAGTGGGGTCTTCTGTACATTTCTCATTCTCTTTGTTGCTTTAGAATGAAAGAAGAAAAAAAGAAATGCTACATTCAAACTATACTCCCCACTCCAATATAGATAGATAGATGCACAGAGACAGACAGACAGACAGACAGATAGGTGATAGATACAGATGATAGAAGATAGATCGATAATAATAATAATGATGATGATAGATGATAGATTAGATGATAGATGATAGATAGATAGATGATAGATGATAGATAGATAGATAGATAGATAGATAGATAGATAGATGATAGATAGATGATAGAGACAGAGATATGAGGGAGGGAGAGAGAGAGAGAGAGAGAGAGAGAGAGAGAGAGAGAGAGAGATTGAGTTCTTCAACATGAAAATTTGTTTCACTTGTCCTCAGGACCAAGAAATTCCTGGTTCTTTCCCAAGTGGGCCAACCCCTTCCCATACTCCAACACTAGGCCCTCCTTTCAATACCATCTCTAAGCTATCCATTTACACATTTGCATTTCAAGACTGATGCTCATAGTAGAGTTTAGCTGTTATAATTCCCATTATATATAATATTTTAAAAACCGTAACTGAAATTAAAGCTTTCCCAAAGTAAGCACCTAATAATGCCTCTAAGAACGTAGCTCAGTGGGAGATCACTTAGCTAGAATACCAAGGCCCTGGGCTTGGCATCCAGAACCACAAATACAAGTAAACAACAACAAAGGTAATCCTAACACTGTCTTCTCTGAGCATCCTTCATTGCCACATGATAGGTTTCGGCCTCTCTCTTTTCTATGCTTCAACATTACACATCCTTGTTTCTGACTCCCTACTGTATATAATTTTGTTTCCCTTTCACCAAAATGTAAATTCTATGAAATAATGGCATTATTTTGATCATTTTTGTTTGATGTGCAAGTGAACACTGATCAGCGCTTGAAATGTGCCTTATAAAGATGTGCTAAAACATAAAACAAATACATGAATAAATGTCTGAAAACAAAATCCCCAAGAAATTGGAGGTTAAGAGGCAAATGAGAATAGCAAAAAGTGAAGTGCCAGAGAAAACGCCAAATAACAAAAGGCAGAGAGAAGACTTGTGAGAGAGTGCTCCTTGCAGACTATGTAACGAACATATATTTGAGTGCCCAGATCTGGAACTTGGGGATGAACTGGTAAAATGGCCAACGTATGCTGGGCATGACTTCCCATCAAAGCGTACTGACTGACCTGGTAGGCTCTGGTTTGCAGGGTCTTCTGTTGTCCATGGCTCTGCTCCTTGCTCCAGTTTGAAGATCAACTCAGGTTTAGAGATGCACTGTCCTATTAATAGAAGCAATGTAGGACTTAGAAAATTTTTGCTAACTCAGATTCTTTGAAGAAAGACAAAATGCAGTGAAAGGGCAGATGTGAACCTCTCATTAGAGAGTGAGAAACAGTCAAAAGTTGTGGCCTTCAATCTTACCCATAAGTAGCACTAAACCTTAAAAGTGTTCATATATTTACGGAGGCTGGAGAGATGGCTCAGCGGTTAAGAACACTGAACTGTTCTTGCAGAAGACCCAGTCTGAATCCCAGCACTCACATGACAGCTAACAAGTGTTCATATATTTACTAGAGTGAAAGTGCTCCTGAGACTTATTGGGAGTTCTACTCACCCAGGGACACCAGACTGCTATAGGTCTCCAGCATCACATTCCTGTACAGTGTCCTCTGAGTATCATCCAGATTCTGCCACTCTTCCCAGGTGAAGTTCACAGTGACATCCTCAAATGACACCAAATCCTGTAACGATACACATTTCTCAGTCAGTCACGCTGAGCTTATATACAGGAATCTAGAAGATCCAGCTTCCCTTGGGGGGATGGAAGGCGCTAGTATTTTCCATTATGATTAACCTTGCTTTTTATTCTATATGTTAGGAAAAACAAACATCATGGAGCTATCCTGATATTATGATTTATTAATTAATGCAGAATAATGTTGACCTTACAGATCAAAACCTTCAGTGCTGGTGTAAGGGAACCTAGGCCCTCCAGGCAACCAGGCCCTATGCAGATAGGGTTGCAAACAAAGCAAGAACATACCCAGCTCCCACTATGCCAACCAGGTTGGGGGCAGCCTGACTTGTCATTTTGTGTGGGTCATGCATTAACCACGCTCCATTCCCCTACTCAGAGAGTGACCCCTGCCAAAAGTCATATAGGCTTCATTCTCCAACCTCAGTCAAGTAGCATAAGTTGTATATTTACTAAGTCTGCTTCCTCATGATATAAGACTTCTCTCTGTCTCAGAAACCTTTAAAAGTATGCACTTTGTTTTTGTCCAACATGGCTGAAACTCTCCTTCAGAACCATCACCTACTGCCTGTTGCCTGAGTTAATAAATACCTTGCCTGGAGAACAATTCAATTCTACCTCTTGCTCCCTAGAACCTCTCCTCTCTTTCCTTAAAACCTAACGGTTGGTAGAAATTCTCATAATAAAATTTTGTCCCTTCAAAGAAATTTTAATCTGGTATGAAGAAAATGTAAGTATAAATAAATATGCACATTAAGTGGCTGGATGAACTTCAATGTAGACAAAGCAAGGAAGGAGAAAACAGTTCTATTTTATCATGAACTTGCCCTTCACTGAAAAACCAAATATGTTTGCTGTTCCATGTGTGAGTCACATCCTGTAATGACTAAGAGGCAACAGCAGCTGGACATAGTGGTGCAAGCCTTTAATCCCAGCACTTGGGAGGCAGAGGCAGGAGGATCTCTGTGAGTTCAAGGTCAACCTGTTCTACATGGCAAGTTCCAGGCCAGCTGGGGCTACGGAGAGACCCTGTCTCAAAAAGACCAAAGAAAAGAAAAGAAAAAGAAAAAGAGGCAACAGCAAAAGTTTTCTTTCAATCATATAAATAAAACATAGTACATTAATGATTCTATACATAATACCATGTAAAGGTGAATGAACCCGGATTGTGATGACAGGAAAACATACATAAAATTGAAGGAAGTTATTTCAGACTGAATGATTCTTATTTCTTATCTAGATAAATTCTAACAGTAACTTTTATGTGCCTATTGGTCTTCATTTTCTTACAAATTAAAAGTATGTACTCTGGCATTCCAATATTTCCTTGCTACATACAATTACTTGTGTTCATTCTGAGCAAAACCATGGAGAATACATGATGAGGTCCCATCAGAACAGGAAATGAATCAAACAGTCATTCTCTGGAAAAGCAGGAAAGGCTTATGGGAGAATCAGAGGGGAAGAAACGAGAGTGAGACTCAAGGACATGTTTCTGAATACAAAGAACAAGATGTGAAGATGCAATCTTAAAATGGAGAGTCACAAAGCAAAACCCAAGCCAGGCACACGCCTTTAATCCTAGCACTCAGGAGGCTGAGGCAGGTGGATCTCTATGAGTTCAAGGCCAGCCTGGTCTACATAGTGAGTTCCAGGACAGTGGGGGCTACAGGGAGACCCTGACTCAAAAAAACCTAAAAACAAAAACAAACAAAAAAAGCGCAAAACCCAGAACAGAATTTGGGACTAAATTGATCAGAATAGGACAAAAGAACTAATACTGCTGCTATTGAGCAAAATTGGGGAAAATGAAGATTATTTGGTGTCAGAGAAACAGACCTGAATATATATGCAGGACATCAAACTGTCAAGCGTATATACATAATCACATTGGTTGAGTTCAGTAGAGAGATGCAAGCTGTACACAAAACATTTCAAGCTTCTATGGTTCCCCCAATGAAAGAAATGGCTTAAAAAGAATATCTGAGATTCAAGAAGTCAAAAAAACAGAGGAATCTGAAGACAAAGATTTACTGACTACAGAAACCAAGAAGAAATGTTCTGAGTTTATCCCACAAAATGAGACAGTTCAACATTAAGAATAAGAGATCACCATGTCAAGTGAAATAAACCAGTCCCACAAAAACAAGTATCACAATTTTTTCACTCACATGTGGAAAAGACGGAGGGGAAAGGACGTGAAAGTAAAAGGAACTGCTGCAGAGGTGGGTGGAGATGTAAAAAAGGAGGAAGGGGGGATAAGAACAAGTAACAGAGGTGAATGTCATCTAAGTGCATTAAATGCACATATGGGAAAGTAATCCTGAAACCCCTTATTGTGCACAACTAACAATAATAAAAACAGACTACTAAAATGATCGCATTCATACTTCTATGGAGAAAAAATTTTTTGTCCACAAAGTACTGTAAAAATACAATCATGTTATTTTGTGTGTAGGAAGCTAATATCTGCATCCTGTCCATAGGTACGGAATGTCCTCCACAGGCCCATGTGTTAAAGGCTTGTTCCCAGTCCATGGTGCTGTGGAGAGGCAGTGGAATCTTCAAGAGGCTGGGTCTGCCAGGATGAGGTTCCTTATAAGAAATGCAGCCTGAGGTGGGGGTGTTTATCAGGACCAAGGCCCATTCCTGATACTTTCTTTCACTTCCAGGTTGAGAGAAGGGGAGGAGCTTCCACTGCCACAATGGCCCACCATGATGCACTGCATTTCTACGGTGCCAAAAGCAGGGGGATAGGTGACCAGGGATGAAAACAACATAAATTGTGAGCCAAAGTGAAACTTACCTCTATGTAAGCTGATGCTCAATTATTTTCCACAGTGATAGAAAAGTGACTAACCCAGGACATTATTATTCTGTCCTAAAATCAAATGAAGAGCTGAACAAGCAAAAGTCAGCACTGTTTCTTAGATCTGAAAGTGAGAACAAAGCACAGAGCAGCCGCCCTAACTAAGGCAGTCAGGTGAGTGTAGGGAGCCACACAGCAGGAGCAGTCACTAGGGAGGCACTGTGAAAACGGCTGCCACAGGAGGAAAACTGCAATGACAATTAATGAATTGGGGAAGCTCCGCGAAGCTCACTGTGGAGCATTCCCAGGTAAAAACCCCATGTGCTAACCAAAACAGACATGGAAAACAATAAACACAATAAAAAGTTTTTAAAAGATTAATTAGGTTAGAAGGGCCAGGTGTGGACACATGCCTCTAATACCAGCACTTGAGAAGCAGAGGCAGTCAGATCCATGGGAGCCTGGTCTACATGGTGAGTTCCAGGCCTGCTGAGGCTACAAGGAGATCCTGTCTACAAAGGGAAAAAAAAAAAAAAAGATTAATTAGGTTAGAAAATAGAATAATCAATAGATCTAAATAGGCAGTTTTCTAAAGACATTAAATAGATTCTATGGAAAAACAATATCACCTCTTATCTTAAAAACACAAATCAAAACTGTATTGATATATTACCTCACTCTAATCAGAAAAGCTACTAATAAAATGCAATGGTTTGAATGAGTGTCCCTCATAGGCTCCCAGTATTTGAACACTTGGTTCCCAGTTTGTGACACTGTTTAGGGAGGATCATGGAACCTTTAGAGAGTGTGGCCATGTTAGAGGAAGCCATCACCAGGGATGGGCTATGAGAGTATATAGCCAAGTCTGGATTTCTCTGCTTCCTGTGCCTGCATGAAAATGTGATCACTCAGCTCTCTGCTCTGGCTACTTCTGCCACCATGCCTCCTTCACCATTATAGATGCTAATCCTCTGGAACCACAAGCCAAATAAAACTCTTCCTTCTATAAGTTGCCTCAGTCATGGTGTTTTATCACTGCAACAGAAAAGTAACTAGTATACAAAAACACAAAGGATAACAAGTGCTGGTGCTGATGTGGCTAAAATGGAACTTGAACAGAGTGGGAATGTAAATTATTACTGCCATTCTAGATAGCATGGAGTTTCCTCAAACAATTATAAACAGAACTGATATCATCCAGCAATCCTATCACTGGGAGACCTAAAAGAAATAAAATCAATATGTCCTTCCTGCCCTTCCATGTTCATTGGAGTACTAATCCTAATAAGTGAAAAATGGAATCAACTGAAAGATCCACCAACTAATGAATAAATTATGCAGTAAAGCAAATATATGCTATTAGCCACAAACAAGATACAGATAAAACAAGACAACATTATGTTAATGAAGTAAGCCAGATTAAAAGTCATATGGAACCTATTACTGTAGCTTTTAAAACTATATACATATACAATATGAAAAAAGGTTTTTAAAAAAGGGTTTAAATGTACTTACCCTATAATAGGGATTCAATGGTCTTACCTGACACCACAGGTTAGCAAATAAAAAGCCTAATACCAGAAATGGACTCCCTCTTTTGGAGGGAGGTCCCAGATATCCTCAAACGATGCTAGGCATTGCCATTGCTCTTGGTTACCTGCCAGAACTTGACAGTAACAGCCTATTGCTGAAGACACTAGGTACATGAGTCATACAAAAAACAGGGAGAAATCAAGCTGGTAATGACCTCAAACCTTCACCTCTACTGCCTAGCTTTCATAGTGCTAGAAGGAGCTATGCATGCTACTGGTAGAGAAAAGTAATCGTCAACCTTACCTAGCTGTGAATTTTGGAAGCTACAATAACAACTGGCCTGGCAAGATATGCTCACTGATAGAATAGTGGCATGAATGTTGTGGCAGTAGCCAACCACCTTCTGATTAAATTTAAGGCCCATTTCTCAAGATGGAGCCCATAATTGGCAGGATTATCAGGGGCAAGAACCTGTGGCTAGACAGGTCTGGGCTGTAGAAGAGAGCCTACTATTATTATTCTGCTAAATGGGCATAATATCAAACTGACTCCTAATGACTTCCTGTTATACCCATAGATTAACGCATCTCTCAACTCTTACCAGAGATGCTTCTTCTTAAAGCAGATGACAATTAACACAGAGACCCACAACTGGTCAACATGCAGAAAATAAGAGAATGTGGAGTACTCTGTCCAAAATGGAACACCTATATCACACCCTCTCCTCCCAAGGCTCAGGGATCATTGCAGAAGGGGTAGAAAGATTGTAATAGCAAGAAAGGATGGATAAATGCAAGGAGACTGTTTTGTTTGGACACAACAGGGCAGTTTACACATATGAACCCCACAGTACTTGTGATAGCATGCATAAGACCTCCGCAAACCCAAGCCAGACAGCAGCCCAGCATGGATCTCCCTAACTGGAGATCTCTGAGCAACTGAGAGAGAGTCAGTTTTCTTTAAGGATATGACACCTGGTAGGTTGACCAGGCTATAGAATTTGGTGAATACAAATTGGGTTCAATAGGCCTTTAAAATTAGTAACAGAAGACATGAAGTAGGGGAGTAGTAGCGTGGGATGGAGGTAGAGTCGGGGGAGAGGATCTGAATATGATCAAAATACATTGTATGAAATTCTCAAAGAATCAGCAAAAATAGTTTTTAAAGGACAAGTGTCAGATCTCATTTCTATGCAGAATCTTAAAAAGTTCACCTCACAGGAGTTCAGAGTAGAATAGTGGCTGCTAGGGGCTAGAGAGGGGCAAAGGTGAGGGAGGGAAAGAGAAAGGTTGGTCAGAGGGTATTAAATTTCAATGGGTACATGAAATATATTGGTGTTCTACTGCACAGTAGGATGGTTACAGCTAATCATATGATAGATCTCTACACAGACAGACAGACACACACATATACACACACATACACACACACACACACACAAATTGTATTCAAAATAATGAGTTGAATGAAATAGCAACTATTTAGGGAGACATGTATGTTAACCCTGATAGTAACATTATAAAATAGATATGTATATCACAACATTACATGATATACCATAAATATAAATAATTTATAAAGAAATTTCAGAAAACTATTAAGCAATTACACCAAGATCACAGAATGTAAGCTAAAAATACAGAAGCCAGTTTGTCATTGCCAGATAACTAAAAAAAGTAGAAAGAAAAACTGCAATTTCTTTTTTTTAATATTTTTTTTAATTTTATGTGTATGAGTATATTGCCTGCATATAGGTAAGTGCACCCATGTCATGCAATGCCTGCAGAGGACAGAGAGGCCATCGGATCCCCTGGAACTGGAGTTAAGGACAGTTGTTAGCTGTCATGTGGGTTCTGGGATTCAAACTCAGGTCTCCTGCAAGAACAACCAGTGTTCTTAACTGCTGAGCCATCTCTCCAGCCCCAGAAAAACTGCAATTTCTAAGGATCCAAATTAGATCCTACATTAGTTTCTTTGATAGACTACCCTGACAGAGGGCAACTGAGGGAGGAAAGGGTTTACTCTGACTCACAGGTTTGGAGGGGACACAGCCCATCATGGCAGGGAAGGCACGGCAGCAGGAGTAGGAGGCTCACTGATCACATTTCATCCTCACACAGGAAGCAGAGAGAGAACAAGTGGGGTCAGTCAAGAACCCATGGATGGAGTACTCATGGGCCCCAGCAGTGAACCTGCTATTATTTTGCTAAATGGACAAAGTCTCAAACTGCCCTCTAAATTTGCATCCCTCTGCCCCAACGTTAATGCAGCCCTCAGACCTCCTCAAAAAAGTTTATTTGTTCAGTGAATGGTGGTTAAGACATAAACTCACAGCTGATTAAAGAGAATAAAGGACTGTGGAGTGCTCAACCACAAATGGGAATCTATTTCACACCCTACCCCAAGGCTCATGGACCATTGTGGAACACAGGGTGGAAAGATTGTAAAAGTTAGATGTCAAGGAGGGCTGGAGTAAAACTGTGTCTTCTGGACATGACAGGACTGCTGCACTAATGAACTCACAGCAGCTGTGGTTGAGAGCACAAGACCTGAACAAGATCAAGTCAGTCAACATTCTAGGATGGAGGGGGAAGGAGTTAGGAACCCCCATCCCTAAGTGAGAAGCTATGAAGAGTTGATGTCTTCTCGGGGGTGGTGAGAGTCAATTTTCTTTAAGAGTGTGATTCCTGGTAGGCAAACCATGCTCTAGTGAATGGCCCCACATCCAGAAGTATATGGATAGCACAAATTGGAGTTGATGGGTTATTAAATTAAAAAAAGAAGAGGTCAGGAAGTTGAGGGTAGGGACGTGGGTGTGGATCTGGTAGGAGTTAAAGGGAGGAGTTAGGGGTGAATATAATCAAAATATATTGTATGAAATTCTCAAAGAAAATTAAAATGTTATATTAAAAAAGAAGTAGGGCAGGTCTATAAAAATTCAACGTCCACCCCAATTCCATACTACCTCCAGCAAAGTTCTACCTCTTAAAGGTTCCACAGTCTTCCTAAACAGCACCACCAACCAACCAAATGTTCAGACATATGAGGGATATTTCAGATCACTAGACCTACAAAAGAGGAAGAAAAGGGGAGAGAGGGAGGGAGGGAGGGAGGGAGGCTATAATACTAACACATTATCATCCTGAAGACTAAAAGCCTTAGGTACAAATCTAACAAAACACATACAAAATCGAGTGGAGAAAAACTTCAAGACAGGAATGAAATTACCAAATGAAATAAATGGAGAGACATTCTATGTTCGTTAATATAACAGTTACTGCCAACGTCCATTCTATTTTATCAATAGATTCAATCTAAGTCAAAATTGCAATAGGTTATTTTATGGATACCAACAAGCTACTTTTGGGCCCTAAAAGCTGTAAGGAGGGCTGGAGAGATGGCTCAGCAGTGCTACAACTGCTCCTGTAGAAGACCCCAGGACACAAGCTTGGTTCCCAGCACCCACATTAGGTGGCTCACAACCACCTGTAACTCCAGCTCCAGGGGTACCCTACACCTGGCCTACATGGGCACTTGCGCTCACATGCACATACCCACACACACCATTTAGAATAGTAAATC